CCACCTATGAAGGGCAGATGTTTAGGGTAAAAATTACCCTAGACACGTGGCCCAATAGACCCCTGAAACGTGTAATCCCCTTAGTGGTCAGCACAGGCTCCAATCCCTTTGCGACACGTGTCCTTTGAACCCTAAACTGGGAAATAAAGTTCCCCACTATAAATAGTGGGGGAGACCACATTTATTGCATATACACAAATCGAAACACAAACCCCGAGCAATATATTAATTGCAGAATTCTCCCAATCAGCGAGAAGCATTTACTATTCCGTACATTTTACCTTAGACGAATTCTAACTTAATCGTCGGAGGCGAAACTCCACCCCCAGCCGGAGTCTCCGTGATTTTGCAGGTACAGACGTTGGACTGCGCATACTAGGAATTGTAACTCTCCCGCAGGACACATTAAAAAACCCCGAAACAATAATTATGAAAAAAAAATATAGTACTAGAACTTAGAATTATACCTTAATGTTTTTATGTGTTACTACAAAGCTATTTTAAATGGCTTCAGTCTAAAAGAGAGAATATGATTTGTACTTGATATTAGTTAAGTTAAAATAATCCACAGTAGGAAGGAGTATTTTATGAGAAATTCAATGCATTAAGAGCAGAAGTGTCATTCCAATACATTTAGGGAAGAATCATCATTTCATTAACCGAGAACTTCAAAAAAAATATAACTAAAAGTGCTAATTTCCTACCGATTAAACTTCTCTATTTTGTCCCCTATTTAATTTCTCCGTAAAAGTGCACCATTAAATAAATTACAAGGAAAAAAAATTCAATCACCAAAATGTGAAATTTGAAAAAACTTTGTCACTAAATATTACATAAATTATTAATATTGTTGGCTAATATGTTAACTATATATGTTTGCTATTTTATTTAGTTACTTATTATTATTATTTTTTAAAAAATGTAAATTTCTTATTCTATTGATTACATGATACCTATGAAAGCTAATATTACTCTTTCATTGGATGATATGTTTCTAATATTCAATGATTTGTATATTTTGTTGGTGTCTTATATGATTCTTATGTTGTACTAAATGATTATAATTAGAGTATATACTTAGGTTGGCTGAATTCTTTATATTGTTGGATAAAATTCTTTTTCTGAATGGCTGATATGTTATCTTAATATTATTAATGTGGGCTGATATTTTATCTTTTTTGGCTTATATGTTTTTTTATGTTGGCTGATATTATTAGAATGTTAGATGATATATTATTCTTACCTAATTGCTGAAATCTTTATCTTGTTAAATACAAATTCTTTTTTTAAATGGCTTAAATGATTCTATAGTTAGTTTATATGATTCTTATGCTGGCTTAAATGATAGTTACTTAGTTTTACTGATTCGTTAATTTTTTTGCCTTTATGTTTTTTAAAAGTCTTGAAATCATTTCTTTACCTATTATCAATTCTCTGGCTTATATAATAATTAAGTCGACTAATATCAATCTTTCAATGGCTGATATGATTATTTTTGTTATTAATATGATTTTATTGTAGGCTTATATAACAATCAATCATAAACCAATTTAAAATACTAACATCATATATCATATTCATCAGATTAAATACTAAGAATCATATCCAATATGAATCTAAGACAATAGAACAAAAATAATTTCAAACATCATTTCATCAATGTCAAACTAAATAATCTAATTATCCTACTTTTCAACAGCACTGTCTTCATCATCCAACAACAATGGGGAACCTATCACCCCCAAACACAGAATCTAGAGTCCACTTCTTGGTGGAATTGTCAAGATCTTGTGTTTCAGGAACCCAACTCCTCTTCCTCCACATCCTTCTCCATTCTTTGCTCACCAATTTCACCATATTTGAATCCCATGACTCAAGTCTAGGAAAAACATTCTTGCACATAATGTCCTCCATTCCTAGAACTAGATGGGCTTGTTCCAGACCGTATCTGCCTATCCTTCTCCAACCCCTGCAAACACTCATCACACAGTCACTGTCCCTTGAGTCTTTAAGTCGAAGGAACACATGAAATTGCAATATATCAGGCATGGAGAGGGTTGGGTGAAGTTCATCAAGATCAACCATTGTTTATCCTTCTAAATTAAACCAATTAACAACTTGTTTACAAACAACAAACAACCAATTTCATAAAAAAATTCATGTGATCATCACAAAACCCTAAACCCTAAGTTTACCAAGAAAAATTTTAACAAAAAAAAAATATTTATCTTGTTGGCTAATATCATTCTTTTATGAGTTGGCTGATGTGTTAACTTTGTTGGTTGTTATAGTTCTATTTTTGGCTTATATAACATTTAAAAAAGCATTTAAGAAATGACTAACATCTTTTATGTTATCTTAAATAATTTTATTTTTGGGTTATATGATTCTAATGCTGGCTTAAATGATAGTTTATACTTAGTTAAATATACAATAAGAGAATAATGAATGTACCTAGCTAAATTCTGGAACTTGGGTTGAATTCGCACTAACAAACCACTAATCGCCTTCCTTTGAGCTCCAAAAATGGTTGAGTTTCGTTCTTGAACAGAGGAGGAGAAGTGAAAGGGCGCTAAGATTTTTTAGGGGAGATGAATATTATATTGGGGTTTAAACTTCCATCAGTCATTGGGTGCACTTCACCAAGACACGACATCAAAGGGTATTATTACTTTTTTCTATTTAACCAACATTTTTCTCACCAAAAATTAATAATACTGTACATTTCTATAATTTTATTACAAATTAAGTAGTTTTAAAATTATGTAGGTTTAAAAAAATACATATAAGCCAAAAAAAATTGATATAAGCCAACAAAATTAATTTTATTACAACTTAAGTAGTTTTAAAATTATGTAGTTTAAAAAAAATACATATAAGCCAAAAAAAATTGATATAAGCCAACGAAATTATCTTATCAGATAATAAAACAAATATATAAGCCAAAAACAAAAACATATAATTTGTTTCTTATGTTTTCTATATCAGCCATCAATATGATTATATAAGGCATCATTATGATGATATTACACAACAAATAATACTTATAAGCCAACAAACTGTCTTAATTGTATATCATTTTTCTCACCAAATTTTTTTTTTTTAAAAATAAGCCAACAAAGTTATATTATCACATAGTAAAATGAATATATAAGCCAAAAACAAAAACATATAATTTGTTTTTTATGTTTTCTAAATCAGCCACCAATACGATTATATAAGGCATCATTATGATGATATTAGACAACAAACAATACTTATAAGCCAACATACTGTCTTAATTGTATATCATTTTTTTCACCAAAAATTAATAAAACAGTACATTTCTATAATTTTATTACAAATTAAGTTTTAAAATAAGTTGTGGATTTGGAGTTTTTGTCCCAAATTCATTTGGATGTCTTGTAGCAGCCTTTTATCTTTCAAAATGCCCACTAATCCTTTTAGTTTCTTCCAGGTGGTCTTCCTTTTGTTTTTGGTTTTAAAGGATCAAGTACAGTTTCTCTTCTCACTTCCTCTTCATTAATTTTTTTGATCTTTTCCTTATTTGTTTGAAACACCTTCTTCACTGATTGATACATCTTGTCAAGTGTATCATCACATACTTTTTTAGCTGCATCATTTGATTGACAAATGGATACCAAATTGTATAAATTTCTTGCTATTGTATGTCTCCATGGTGTGTCAAGCATTAAATTTTGATCCAACGCTTCTTGAACATTTCCTAAAAAAATTAAATATATATTAAAACTAAATTAATATAACTTGTATATGTAATAATTCAAAATTGGTACCTTGTCTGTCTTCCTAAATTAAAGGTTTTGCTGATTTTGTCCATCTCCTCTTGATGTACAATAATGGAATATCAAATACATTATGCATATGCATTACTCTTAATATATGGTAGCATATCATTCCCGTTTCATTAAAACATAAACAGGTGCAAGCAAATTTCTTCAAATTCTCATAGTAAATAACTCGATGGCTGCCCTTGAAATCTTCATTTATGAAACTTCAAACATCTTCAAACCAACAGTTATTATTTCATGAGATACATCTTGAATATAAGATCTCATACTTATGTCATATTCTTCTACAAAGTCTTTGTAAAGATTCAAAGTGTAAACTTCAGCCGCTTGTTTCAACAATTTGCATTTTGTTTTTTGCTTCTCTACTTTGTTTTTGTAATTATTTTCTTTTTCATTGCTTCTCCATCTTTTCACTGTTGCTTCAAAGATATGGAAGAATTCAAACAATGAAGTCTTCTTGTTTGCTTTGAAAGATATAGCTCTATTTGTCACCTCTAATCTTTGTGGTGATAAAATTCTAGCAGAAAATATGTCCTTGCTAAACACAGGACACCATTTCATCCTAAGATCATATAATCTTTTAAACCAAGATTTTTCTTCCAAATCATACTTCTGAATCATTTCAGTCCAACAAGCTTCAAATTTTTTATCATCATCACAACCATATAAACATTTGTCAAACACATTTCTGAAATCATCATTACTTTTCAATTTACCAAATCTTGAAATAAATTTTTTTTGAAGATTCCATAAACATAATCTGTGTCTTGAATTTGGTAGAACCTGCATTTTATACATCATATGTTAATAATTATTAAATGTATATATGATATAATCATTTATGTATTTAATGATATCATTTATCATTTAAATGACATAATCTGTTACTAAGATCATATTATCTATCACTGAGATTATATAATCTATTTCTTAAATTATATCATGTATCTGTTTCATTTTATTATCTATCATTCAGACGATATAATGTGTCATATGGATGAAATGATTTAAAAACTGGTTGTAATGAATTAAAGTTACCTTTTCAATTGCATTGCTCATTGCTTGATCTTGGTCTGTTAATATTGTCTTTGGCTCTAATCCTCTCATTGACTTTTTGAATGTTTCAAGAACCCATTCAAATGTATCAGTTGTTTCATCAGTCATAAAAGCACAACCAAACATAGTTGTTCTCTAATGGTTGTTTACCCCAACTATTGAAGCACAAATTAAACCATATTTATTTGTCCTATAAGTCTTATCACAATCAACTTCTGCTCTTTCTTGTAGTGTATCCAAAACACTTTGCATATCTCCACCTTCAATCCTTTCTGCTCTATACCTAGTCACATAATTCAACAGATCTCTCTTTGTGTGTCCTAAAGCCTCTTCTGATCCAGCCTCATTTGATAAAAATTCAAAGACATTCATTGGCTTTATACCACTTTCAATCATTTTTTCAATCACCTTTTCTATTTCTTCCTTTATATTTCTTTCAGATTTCAGATGATGCCTTTCTGTTGAATAAAAAAACTCATGATTGTGTTTTGTGTTATGTTGAATAACAAAATACACACCACTTTCATTTTTCTTGAATTTGATATTAGCTTTACAACCAGTTATAGTCTCATTGACACATCTCTTTTTCCTCTTTTTTGATTTTCCTTCTATTTCTGTAGGCATCTCACCAAATGTAATTTCTTTGTCCTTTTTCTGTCTTTTTTCATCTGTAAATCCCTCCTTTGAGAAGCAAAAGTAAAAATCATATGGTACACCATTTATTACTTCTTAGTGTACTTTTTCTAACACTAAATCCAACTACTCTAGAATGAGCTTTGTACAAACGCAATGCATCTTTACGATCTTCAACAATTCTTCCCATCAAAGATAAATTTATATCTTTATCAACATCATACTTAAAATAATCCGAATCTGCAATACAGTATATGTAATCTGTAATGAATGATATGTAATATATAATAAAGAATATAATACATGTATTAGATGATATGTATGCATAATGTAATAGAAGATATGTAATTTATAATATGTAATACCTTTTTTTGTTTTTAATCATCAATATTGTCATATAAGCCAACAAAAAATACTTATAAGCTAACAAATTATTAATATAAGTTAAGAGATATCAGGATAAACAGATCATATAAGCCATCATTATGATGATCTCAGAAAACAAAAAATTACTGATATAAGCCAACAAAATTATCTTATCATACAATAGAAAAATCATATAAGCCAACAACAGAAAAATATAATTTATTTTAAATGTTTTCTATAAAAGCCATCATTATTATGATCTTAGAAAGAGAAGAAAAAAAAAAACCTTATAAACCAACAAATTATTTATTTAAGCCATCATTATTATGATATAAGCCAACAAATTATTAATATAAGTTAAGAGATATCAAGTAATACAAATCATTTAAGCATCACTATGATGAGATCTCAGAAAACAAAAAAGTACTTATAAGCTAACAAAATAATGATATAAAGCATAAATTTACTTACCAACATCACCTTCTTTATCATCATTTTTGTTTGTTTGTTTCTAATTCTTTTTCTTCTGCATTATAAAAATAGAAATTACATATCACATAAATCTTCAGATTAGTTTTAACTGTTTAAAAAACGACGAAAAAGCTATAGAGTAATGAAATTAGAATTACTAGGATTTTCTAAGGTAATTGTAGATGAATTAGGTGAATTTAAATCCTCTTTTTGATGATTTGAATCAAATTGTTAATAATTTGATTCATTTTGCTGATCGAATTCGTCATTTTGATGATAAATTGATTTAATTCTTCAATTTTCTTCTCCAATTGTAAATTTCAAAATTGTGCGATCTTCTTCTTCGATTTTACGTAAAAACCTAATTTTTAAAAGCCCGCGAAGCCCGTTAGCACCAGGCTTTAAACCCGCGCTCATTTTGGGCTTTGTTTGGAAGCCTGCCGCACGAATTATTTGGTGCGGCAGACCGCACGCAATAGCTTCTCATATTGTTTTGAGTGATATATCGATAATGTGTTTATGAAAGTAAAAAAGTCTCTTGCATTTATTCATCATTCTCTTAGGGCTTAAGAGAGTGAATAGTGAGAGGTGTGAGCTTTCATTCTTGTTTGAGAGCTTATCATCATCAAGGTTTATTTATTTATTTTTTTTTTTTTTTGAAACAAATCAATTCATTAATAAAAAGTCATACAACATCCACAAATGAAATCTAAATTAACAAATACATAAAACTGAATCAAATTAGGGTTTCCTTCATCAAAACTACAATCATTGAATAGATCTTGCACTATAGTACATCTCTCCCACACATCGCTGGCATAAACAACCTTTTCGAAGAGACGGTCTAACAATTTGTTGTAGCCGTAAAGAAGATTTTCAACTGATTCACTTGAACGCATTTGAAAACTTGACAACCGTTGCGATCCCGAACAAATCTTCACCAACGAACTGATAATAGGGCAAAAAATGATTACCTTTTTCATAAACCCTAACACACAAATAAACCCTAAACATAAACAAACAACTAAACTAACAAAATCTAACGACTCCACTATAGTGAATTGGTGGGTTTTCTCCCGATACTCGGATTTCACACGGTAAAATTTCCTTGTTTCGTTACTTGCTTGACTTTTGTTCTTAATTGTTGTTTAACGCAAACTTGTTAGCACATATTAAGGCTTTTTTTTTTTTTTTTTTTTTTTTTTTTTTTTTTAATATTGTATTTTTCTGCTTTGCTTTGCTCTGCTCTACTTTGTTCTGCCGATATTTACTCTACTCTACTTTGTTTTGCCGATATTTGCTCTGCTCTATACTAAAAAATAATCAATAATTAATATTCACAACATATACAACTTTTTTTGTTATCTCCGTTTATGACCTTTAGAATTTTATTTAATGATTCACCACTCCTACAAACTTACCCTTTCACACTCTTTTCCCAAGTTAGCAACTAATGTTAAACACATTTAATCAAGCAAAGTACAAATTCTTTCCTCTAATCCAACATGATTACCTAAATAATAGTGGTGTGAACTAATCTCCTTTTCATTGACAATTTTAATTAAAACCCATTTTAAACAACTAAAAAAATTAATAATAGGAATCTAGTCTAAAAAGATAGGTAGACCAATGAGTATAGTCACAAATTTAATGCATGGTTGTATGACTGTCCACAGCAGCTTTCTTTCTTTTTAGTAAAATAATTGGCATTTTCTTCAAATTTATTTTTAGTCCTCTAAAAAAAGATCCTAATTCTCTCTGTCCAAAATACTGGAATACTCTGTCTATTTTCCACTACCCTTTATATTCTCTGAATTCTTTCAATACTTAAAATTCATAACCATCTTTTCTTTCTCTACATCTTTCTCACACTAGCTGTAAAAATGATTAATTTTGTGATTTTTCTGCTAATTTTGGGAGTAATTAGAACAGGGGTTAACTCCCAGAATCTAATTAGTACAAATAAATTGAGGTTATTTGTTGATGAACTTCCTGATATGCCCAAGTTATTTGGGTATGAAGTTGTTAATTGAAAAGCTGTTCCTACTTCTTTGAAAATTGGCATGTTCCAGAAGAATTGGGTTAGTTCTTAATCTCCCTTGCTTTAATACTAAATTATGGGTTTTAATTAAGTATTGCTTTATTTGTATCTGTAGTTCTATTTTTGGACATTGATTTTGGTGAAATGTAATGAGTTTTATACAAGTTTAAGTTAATTAGGTCGTGTTTTCCTGTTGTTTTAGTATGCTCTGTTTCATTTATAAAAAAATAAATAAATAAATAAATAAAAATGCTCTGTTTCAGTTTTAGTGGTGCTTTATTAATGCAGTGAGCTAGAAATTAGATTTTGGTTAGTTGAACTGGATTAGAAGAGTCACATAATATAACTGAAACTATTGTAGTATTTAATTTTTTGTTTTTCATTATTATTTGTCTGAATTAGATAAAGAATAGGTCAATTTTCTTTCAAATTCATGAAAATTTCATTACAAAATTTAAAACGTGAAAATCTTTTGGAGTGAAAAAAAAAAAAAAACCAAAAAAAACCTAAAAAATCCTTAAAAAATATGTACTATCTACTTCTTTAGTTCAAAATGCAAATGCAATCATTTATCTCTTGCACTATTCGCATGTGTAAGTTTAACTTTGATCTTGATTTTCTTACTGGCGGTGTAAAAACAAAAATTTATACTTCTTCCGTTTGTTTTTAGTTGATACGTTTCTTTAGTGACGTTTGTTAATGTACAAATTCAAACATTAATATATCTAATTACCGATAAACAAAAGTTATGAAAAATTGATATTTAGAAATATATATCGTAACGAATCTAACAAAATCTTACATGACTATATTTTTCATTAGGTATAAAACACAAAATACGGTTAAAGGAAAATGAGTGAATAGTGCTAAAGTCAAAACGTGTCAACTAGAAAAAAAAAAGGTAGTATAAGTTATTTTTAGATTTATTTTAATGAATATTGTTAGCCCATCAAATTTTATAAATTTTAATATTTTGTTATAAATGTGTTAATCAAACTGTTATATTTAACATGAAACATGGAAAAATTATTTGAAATCAAATCAGACTTTATGTAGTTACAAGTTGAAATGTTATTGGTTCTCTAAGATATAATTCCTGTTTTTGCTGATAATCTTTAAGATAGATATAGTTGAGTGTTCACGGGCTTTGGGTTCATCAAGTAACGTCTTTATTTGAACCCTAGTAGTCAGTGATTTTGTTGTTTCTATCTAATTATGTCCGTTAGCTTACAACCTAAATTTAGATTGTACAAGTACTAGACAATACGATGCTAAAATTCTGTTTATAATCGTTATATTGATTTGTCCGATATAACGAAATACCTTCCCCCTTACATAAAAGTCACCTATTAATAGAGTAACATTGCAATTTTAAATATTTTTGTTGAAAGATTATTACGGAGTAGCTAAGAGCTTAGTGTAGTGTTAGAATAAGTTAAAATTGTAAATTCCTGTATACCATCCAATTAAAATTAAAAATTAGATTCTAACTAACTCAATAAAAAAATTTGTGCCAAAAGTCAAAGCCACATAAATGTTAGCAAACTTCGCTCACTTAAAATAAGCAATATGGTGAAAGTTGTGCAAGTAAATTATGAATTTAAAGTGCTTCGTTGTATGGACAAAATATCATGTTATTAACTACCCCGTACATCATTATGATTGTAAACAAATTTATTGGCTAATTTAACGTACACCCCCCGTCTCCGAAAGAATGACTTTTATGGCCTAAATCTATTCCTAAAATGATCATCCCATTTGCATTAAATTAGAATACTCTCCAATTTACAACAATATTTGTGCAAAGTTAGTTTTCCCATATAAATTTTTTTTTTTCATGTACTTTTATTACTCTCCCTCTCTACTTTTTTGCAAATTCCATGTGACTTTCACTTTCCAATGTACTTTTACAGCTATCTTTTTCACTTTCTTAATACCCGCGAAATCAGCCCAAAAGGGTCGTTTTTTCGGAGATGGAGGGAGTAGTAGTTAAACAATTAATATAGATTAAATTTATATAGCTAATTAAGCTAGTAGTTAAGCAATTAATATAGATTAAATTTATATAGATAATAAGCTAGTAATTAAGCAAGACAGAATCTAACGAGCACCCCCGCGATAATAGAGCTAAATGTAGAAATATTATACTAATTAACATTAATTACACCGATCCACACGTGATTTTGTTATGCATTCCGAACTTAATACTATTTTAAGTAATAAATTAATCTCTTATTTAACACCCCAAGACACTTGTTAGCAAGATCCATTAAGCAATTAATATACATTTTAATTTGAGAGTTTAAGAAAAAAATCGTCCTGTAAAGGTGTCTTGTCCTTGAGACTAAGGAAGAAAAAGATTTCATTGTTCATTTTATAGCAGTACAAACATATAAAACAAGAATGGGTTCCACAGAAAGCTGGAGTTGATGATAATATCGAGGAAAATACAGGTCTAGTTTACAATAGTCCATGAGGGCCATGCAAAAGGCGACAATTTTACGCTATCCACATAAGATTAGAGTGTCGTAATTCTTTCTGTTATTTGTAACATGTTGCTGACTGTACAAAATAAGTACTAACGAATTAAGGCTATGTTGAGTTTAGCTTATTAACTAAATATATATGTACGCGATGCATATTTGAAATAATATGTATGATAACCATTTTAAAAGAGCGTATAAAAATAAAGAAATTTAAGGTTGAAATAAAATTTCTTAAAAGTTAGCTTATAAAAGAATAGTGTTGATGTTGTGACATATATAGTTACATAATTAAGTAGTGTTGTTAAAGAAAAAATTACGCTATGCTATTGCATGCTAATTGTAACATATTATTTCATGATTTACAGAAATTTCATAGAGATCTTCCACCAACACCGGTTTTTGCCTATGGTACTTCTAAGAGGACGGCAACTATTCCGGGGCCAACAATTGAGGCCCTCCACGGCGTAGACACCTACATAACATGGGAAAATAATCTCCCTAAGAAGCACATCCTTCCATGGGACCCAACCATACCAACCGCGATCCCACAAGATCACCAAGGGGTTCCTACGGTGGTGCACCTCCATGGAGGGATCGACGAGCCAGAGAGTGATGGTCATGGACACGCGTGGTTTACCAAAGGGTTTAAAGACAGAGGGCCTCGTTGGACTAAGAATATGTACCATTATCATAACCAACAACAACCAGGAAATATGTGGTATCATGATCATGCAATGGGGTTAACTAGGGCTAATCTTTTGGCTGGATTAATTGGGTCATATGTTATTCGTCAACCACAAGTTGAGGATCCTCTTAAATTGCCTTCTGGAAATGAATTTGATAGGGTTTTGGTTGTTTGTGACAGAGACTTTTATAGAAATGGATCCCTTTACATGAATACCACCGGTAAGTTGTTACATGCACCTTTATTTTCACCATTACTGCCTCCGTCCATTTTAATTTTTGAATTGCAACTTGTGTTTTTTATTGTCACAAAATAATTTTTTTCTTTCTACTTTTGTCGAAGGTAATATTAGGAGACAAATAATTTATGTAAATTATACATTTTTTTTATTTGTGTTAATGCACGAGTTTTGAGTTATCCTTGAACATGGTTTTTCTCCTTCTATTATTCAAAATTTCAAATTACCTTTTTTTAGTTATAACTTAATCCAAAAGGCACATGAAAGGAAAAATGCTATAACGATTTTTTCCAGAAAAGTTTTCTTGCTTAAAATAAATAAATTTTTTAGGTCATGTTTCCATACAAATGAAAGGCAAGGAAGTGATTTACTATACAATATAGAAGCATTTCATGCATAATTTTCATTTTTTTTAAATTTATTTTTATATAATGACTCTACCGTACAATTTTCTCTTTCAATCAAAATAATGTTCATATGTGCATCAATAATTTAATTGTTATTTTCTAATTAACGCATCGTAATAAAATTGCAATTAAATTATTTGGACAGTACATAGTGTTAATAATTTCACCAAATTAAATAAATGTCAATTATCAGATCATATTTATTTATACATGGTACATGAAAAGTGGGATAAAAGATTTATTTTCGGTAATTATAATGCTATGGTTGGATGATTTGTGACACAGGTAACAACCCAAACATACACCCACAATGGCAGCCAGAATATTTCGGAAACGTAATAGTAGTAAACGGGAAGGCATGGCCATACATGGTGGTTCAACGTCGGAAATATCGATTTCGAATCATCAACACGAGCAATGCTCGTTTTTTCAGATTCTACCTAAGCAATGATCTTCCATTCATTCATATAGGATCTGATTCAGCTTATCTAGATCGACCCACTACGAGTAAGACTAAGCTTGTGGCTCCCTCAGAGATTTCTGATGTTGTTATCGACTTTTCGAAATCGAAATCAAGCGTTGCTGTGCTTGCTAATGATGCTGCTTATCCTTTTCCATCAGGTAATTATTATGCATGTTTTTCTTTGGTGTTTTCCAGCATCTTCTTCATTAGTCTAACAAAGTTCTTGAAAGTGGACATTGGATGTTCTACTACTTTTGTTTGAAAGTTTCTTGTGGTTTCCATGGTAAAGTATTGATTAATTTTGTTAATGGGCGACTAAGTTAAGTGCTTATTAGTGGCCTAATTGGTTTGTTAATCATGATTAACCTAACATTTGTTATGAAAAGACACTAAGTGGTAAAGAATAATTATGGTATGGTATGATATGATACAAAATCTTGGGACTTCTATCAAATATTTAATGTGCTGTGTCAGCGTGTGTGATAATATAATGTGATGTTTGAGTCTTTGTAAAATTATGTGTGAGCGAGTTCAAATCTCATTTACCCGTCTTACAAAAATTAAATGCTCTACTAATTTAACGTGATATTTAACCTTATATGAGATCTTTTGATTGAGTTGATAATTTAGTATGATGTCTAAGCATGTGGGAAGTTTTCAAATCTCATTCATGACACTCATAAAAATTAAATGCTTAGTTAATATAACACAATTATAATAGAGAGTTGTTCTTGTAAAGTCATTTATTATTTGTAGTTAGATACTTAGATTGAGTTGAGATAATATAACAGCTAAGTCTGAATAGAATAAAGGTGATTGTAATAATTTGACAACTCGGATTAGTTTTTTCCACAACTTTAGTCTTTTACTAAGCAACTCAGTCAGCTTCACAACTTTACATGATTACATCTTACTATAATAACTATTTTGACCGAATAAAAAGCACCCTGAAAATGGATTAATATTTGGTCATAGATATACTTAGTGCCTAGTAGCATGCACGCAACAAACAATAAGTAATGGGTCGATTAGCATGGCTTAATGGGGCCATTTTGGAATTAAGCTAACTGCTGGAAAACCATTAGCTTGGAATGTATTTTGATACATTAGTTGATAGACACGTCATATTTGTTTTAGTGGGTACTATATCTACAACCTGTAATTATTTTATATTTTCTTGATGTTATATAGAATTCGCTAACTAGTTTAATTAGTTAAAGTTTTAAAGTTGGTACTTAAGATCTGAAATTGAATCTTATTTATATTATTATTCGAGCCTTTTAGTTTTCTCATTTTTTCTAAAGTAAAAGAAGATATTTTTGTTTGCCTATCTCACAATTTAAAGAAACAATACATTTTGCATAAACAGTTCAAAGCCGGTTGTAACATTGGCATAACAAAAGATTATGAACAAAAGTACAAAACATTAGATAAGGGTAGATATATATATGGTTTGTTTTGTATGTACAAGGCTTGTTAAAATGGTCACATTGCCTCAATTCTATAAGGTAATATTATCTTTTATTTACTAGAATTGTGTTTTCATTACATAGGGGATCCTGTAAATGATGTAAACAGCAAGGTGATGAAATTCATCATTAAAGATCACCATGTAAATGGCCCGAGCCACGTACCAAAAACGCTAGTCAAGTACCCGTCACCAAATTTATCAACTGCTTTGAAAACGCGCTACATTGCCATGTACGAGTACACAAGTCCATCCGATGAACCCACCCATCTCTTCATCAATGATCTATCATTTGACGCTCCAGCAACTGAATTTCCTAAGGTTGGGTCTAGTGAAGTATGGTACATTATCAATCTAACAGAGGACAATCACCCGCTTCATGTCCATTTCGGGTTATTTAAGGCGTTGGAGCAAACAAAATTGTTGGATTTTGATAAGTTTCAAGATTGTATGGTTAAGAAGAACAATGCAGAAAAGTGTAACGTACACAAACATGCACGAGGTAAGAAAAAACCTGTTCCAAGGCATGAAAGAGGTTGGAAGAATGTGTACAAAATGAAGCCAGGGTATATGACCAAGATATATGTGAGATTTTCTTACATCCATTCTAATGTATCCTACCCCTTTGATGCTACCAAGGAGCCTGGTTACGTCTATCATTGTCATGTACGTATTCTTATCCCTATTCTCTTACATAATGTTAAACATACAACGTAAATGTTGAGATTGGATGTCAATTAGCTTAGATATGTTAGGAAAGTTAACAAAGTTTATTGTTTGTGGTGTGTCTCTAGTTTATTGTTTGTGCTCGTGGCTCTAGTTTATTGTTTGTGCTCTTGGCTCATGTTGACTTCGCAAAATTGCACGTATCTTTTCATTTTATGCATAGAATCATACAAAGTTCTATCCACATTTCTAAATGGTTATTTTGATTTTTACCATCAAAAAAGAAAAAAAAAACCGATGTTGGCTTTTTACCACCTTTTTTTTTACCACCACAAAAAAATCTAAAAATTGGTTTTCACCAGCAGAAAATCCATTATATGTAACGGTTTAATTTTTATTTTTCGATTTTCGTGTCAAACACATGGTCTCTAGAGTTTTTGGGTCATTTTGGCCCTAGATGATCCGATTTATGGTTGAAATTGACAAAAAATTAAAGGAAATACTTCGTTTTTCTTACTTAAAGTACCATATTTTCCATGAAACACACAAGTCGAGACACTTTTGATAATTTTTTTGTCAATTTCGACCTTAAATCAAGTTCCTTAGGGCCTTAATGACCCCTAAAACCTCAAGAAACCATGTTTTTGGCACGAAAATCAAATAAATTATTTACTTTTTTTAATTCCGTTAGATTTAACAAAATATTCTTCACAACATGTGGTAAAAAATAATTTTTGGTTTTTTTTGTGTTAGTAAAATAATAAAAATAAATAAATATAAAAAAAAAAAAGTAGGCAGTAAAAGTCAATATCAGGTTTTTTTTTTTTTTTTTTTTTTTGGTAAAAATCAAAATTTTCTTTCCAAATACTTGCAACAAATTGATTTTTACCACACTATTCAATTTGTACATTAACTTGATCACATTTTCTTATACATAAATCAGATTTATTGTGTAATACTTTGTTGGATTAGTTTCAATTTAGAAGTTTCATATTATATAGAGTAAATTTTAATTTACGTATATCAAATATCGGTTTACAAATAAAAAGTGCATATACTTATAGGAAATGCATGTATACATTGTCAAATGTGTCAATCAACCTGATGATATTCGAGAACGGGGATGATATTTTGCATAAGGAAATGCTCTTTATATGAAATTATAATTGTTAACTCAAGTTAAATGGCTTTACAACTTGCAGATACTAGATCATGAAGACAACGTCATGATGAGGCCGTTTAAGTTGGTAAATTAGGATTTGGAGGACGACCTGAGATCTCATTTTATCACAGATTAACAGAGGTACAAGCGAGATAATTTTTCCAAAATTTTCAAGCAATTTATTATTTGCTTTCTTTGATTTGTATTATGTTCAATGAATGCTGACCCTTAATGTCTGGGATTTGCAGGAAAATTACTTGGTCATAAATCTAAATGGCCCCCCAAATCATCAACTATACATGTCTTCTTTGAACCAAGTCAAATTTGTTTGTACAAGTATGTATGATGTGGAATGACAAACTTCCATACAAGGGTTTGTGTACAATTGCAACAAGCTAAATTAATTAGTGTAAATCAAATAAAGAATTGTCAATTTCTTCAAGGGGTGACTTTAATTAAGGTGAGTGAGACAAATAAAATATAAGTATAATGCAAAATATACTTAACTAGTTGTTATACTAGCTAGATCTATTAGTGTGAAACAATAGTTCAAAGAGTTTTCTTATGCTTTTGTCATAGTGAGTACACTATTTTTGTTGTATTAGTAAGTAAACAATATGTTTATCTTCGAAATATCTTTGGAAAGCTCTAAATGTCTACTTTGTAACCCAATTGAAATCAGGTCAATATCTTTTCTAGATTAAAAGATATGGTTACAATAGTGCAAGAGTATCGTTTTGGACCGAGTTTTGGTATTTTATTCGTTCATATCTTTTTCGTTATTACTCAGAATTAGTCTTATGATATATAATTGGAAAGCTTATTTCAAGGGTCATCCAACCATGTAAGATTTGGAAAATAATTATGAAGCACAAAAGTCATATTTTCTTGGTTTTGAGGCTGTAGTTATAAAAAGATGAAAATGGTAAGGTACGTGGATTTTGGGCTAGAAAAAGTGCTTGGACTATTAAAATTTGAAATGGCTAGAATGACTTATGAAATCAATTAATCTATACTAAATGCAAACCTAAAATGACACTTGTTACAATGTCATTAATAATTTTCCCCCCACTTTCATTATTTCCTTATTTAATTATTAATCAATCAATTAATTAACCTATACTTAGCAAACCTAAAATGACACTTGTCACAATGTCAATAATAATTTTCCCTCCACTTTAATTATTTCCTTATTTAATTATCAATTAATTAACCTATACTAAAACCAAACCTAAAATGACACTTGTCACAATGTCATTAATAATTTTTCCACCACTTTCATTATTTCCTTAACAAAATAAATATAAGTATAGAAAGTAAATAGATAAATTTTACTTTAATTAACAAAATAACTAATATTTTAGTATATTATTATATATGTGTGATTCGATTACATAATATTATCAATCATAAGATTCTATTACATAATATGCGTGATTAACTATGGATAAAAATCTTATGTTTGACACAATTTCTTTTTTTTTTTTTTTTTTTTTTGAGAAAGGATTGACACGATATTTTGGTTAGTGTTTAATGTATGTGTTGCTTATTTCTAAGTGTAATTGATTCTATTGTATATATAGATAATATTATCAATCATAAAATTCTATCAATAACTATATACTAAAAGCGAAACCACGAATGACACATGTCATCTCCTGGTTAAAAAAAATTTCGCCCATTTTACTTTCCGTTTTTACGCAGATTATTTAAGGAAATTATTTTATAATAACACCAAGATATCTTTCTTCCAATTAAAATTCTTAATAATAATTATTCTCCATATAAATCCAACTAATATATTTTTACATATACGTAGTATTTTATATTAGGTATTTTTTTTTGTAAAAAAAAAGAAAGTACTCCCTCCATTCCTGAAAGTTCGACTCACTTTGCATTTGCATAGTCTCCAATAAGTATCTTTGACCATTAATAACTTGGCTATGTATAAGTAAATTTTTTTAAAAGTTGATATTTGAAAATTTTATCATAAGGGGAATCTAAAAAGATCAAACTTGTTAATTTATTTTGATTGTATAAATCATAAAATGTGGTCAAAGTTATTTTATTTTGACCACATGAATAGTAAGTGTGTCGAACTTTCAGGAACGGAGGTAGTATATTAGGTAAATATTATTAAACAATACTGCTCTATATTATCTTAGTCTTTGATAACACTATTAACTTTTTTTTTCTTCCAATTTTGTTACTTTTGCATTAATGTTTAATTCAATTAAAAATAAAATCATTTTTTTAACACACACACATATATATATACACACACACTTTATTTTCTACTTTTAAAAGTCGTATTATTAATAACGCAGCACGCGCGGGTACCATCCTTAGAATTTTATTTACCTCATAGACCTTTTTTTTAATAAATAAATAAAAATAAATCAAGTCTAAGTGTCACTAATCTTGACATTGGTATAGCTAAGTATAAAATTAAAGTTATATTTATTTTTGAATTAGTATTATGAGTATAATTTTTTTATATAAAATTCAATACAATAACTCTTTATAAAATTTAATAACAACCGTGCATTGCACGGGACTTAAACTAGTGATATAATAATGTGGAAATGGCTTGAATTTCTAAGCTAGATGACTCAAGTGTTCCTTTTTTTTAATATTCTACTCGAACTAAATGGTGATAAAAGGTTTTACTCATCATCGGGTTTCAGTCATGGAAACAACTTTAGGTGTCTATAGTAAGAAAATCAACGGCTAAGATTAAGGTTCTCACTATAACACAAGTTCTCACAATAAGAGTTCGTTCTCTCAAAATCCAAATCTATATTGGAATTGAGTGACTTCTTTTTTAAGATTATTCTAACATAGATTTTGATACATTCAATGTCAAATTTGATGCAAAACTTAGAAATTACAACTGGGGAATATAAAATTTAGGATATTAAACTCTAGACTCCCTTGTGGTTATGACAGGAGAATGTGTAACGTGTTAGTTTTGAAACTTCGGTCTTAGATTTATGTTTATCAATTTACAAAAACTTGATTTATCTAAGACAAGGTGTATCTGCTAGAAATGTTAAAATCTGACCCGACCAAAAAAATCGACCTAAACTGACAATGATTTGTATTCGACCCATATCCGAAAATTAGGTGAAAACAGTGACATGTAATCTGAACCGAAACATACCTGACATTAACCGATAACTGAATGGACCTAATACTTTATGACCTGAACCCGAACTTGTAATCAACTTGATATTAACCGAAAACTGATTTGCCCCAAGTTAATTATTATCCGAACCTAATTAGTACTCGACTTGTTTAGAACCTAAAATCGATTATAACCTGTCATAACTTGTTATCGACCCGAATGGATAACCGAAATAACACTCAACTTGACTAAATTTTAAAACAATAAACACCTAACATGACCTACTACGTACCCGAAACATAGTGATCAGTTTAGTGACCGATGATCCGATTTTATCCAACTCATAAAACCAACTTATATTGACCCGCATTGATATTGTTTTGACTCAAAACTGATGTGGATTTCAATTTTTAATTAAAACTTTAAAAGTTTATTTGAAAATGTTATCAAATTTAGAATCGACCTAAAAAATATTCGAATCATATTTTGACTCGCATGGACCCAATAATTTAGCATGACTCAAGTTTGAAATTAGACCCGACCTGACCCGACGTGACCTTACCTCATTGAACCTGCCCCGATCACACGAATTGACGCTGTTTCGGGGTTTTTTGGAGTCCCTCGGGAAAGTTACAACACCGAGAATGCGCGTCGACCGTCTGTACCTACAAAACCACGGAAACTCCGGTTGGTGGATTTCCGCCTCCGACGATCAAGTTAGAACGTTTCCGGATGTATAAAAGTGCGGAATATAAAGATTTTTCTCTCTGATCCAGAGAGAATTCGGCAATTAATATTGCTCGGTTTTTGTGTTTGTATTTATGAATGTGTAATAAATGAGGATTTTCCTCTATTTATAGAGGATGGGGATTAGTTCCCTTTTTAGGGTTAAGGTGCCACGTGTCAGTAGAGTATCGGATCCCTTTGGGCCTCTCTGAGGCTGACACGTGTCAGAATACCATTGGGCCACGTGGACAGAGTATTTTTACCCTAAACATTTGCCCCTCACAGGTGTGACGTGGCTTGCCACGTGGCACCTGTGATAGGTATCACATTCTAGGAAGGTGACGGTTTGTCTCCTTCCCTCTCCTTTTTTTTTTGAATTCGAATTTCGAAATTGAATAGGGAGGTGACGGTTCGTCTTCAGGGTTCTTCTATAAGTAAAAGCCCTCCTTTTCTCATTTTCACACTGTGCAAATTTTCATTTTTGGGAGAATTTCTAAGAGAATGCTCTGATACCGGTTGCTTGTTTATTCAAAATCATCCTCTCTTTCTTCACTCATCCGGACATCGTCTGAGTGTTCTTTGTTCAAAATCCTCAGATACCGTCTGATCAGAGTCAAATTTCTTCCCTTTGCTCTCAATATACCCACAGCCAATCTCAACCGTCTGAGGCATCTTCAAGCCACTTTCTTCAAAACCGCCTGAGCATCCTTTTATTTTCCTTAGCTGTCAATACACCCACAGCCGGTCACTACCGTCTGGGGTATCTTCAAGACACATTTTAGAGAAACGGTTTGGTTGCTTCAGCAATTTAGTTGCTCTTTGAAGAGGGTACATCCGGGCTGCCGTCTGGGGTATCATCAAGCAACCAAGGGGATTTTCGGCTGCTGACTTCAAGAAGTCAACCGTCTTCAGATTTTTACAATTTCAAGGTACCGTCTCTTCCCCTTGCAACTTTTTTGCGCCTTTCCCGGTTGTATATCTTGTTAAACAATAATGGACTCACCCAACACACACACTGCACGACCTAGGACAGTTTTCAGCCAGTCACCGGACACGGCTGAGTCTAGGATTGGGGATGCCGTTTAGGGGTGTTTGGACCACCCTTACTCTTCTACAAATCCGACCGTCTCTGTTCATGTGCAGGACAGAATGGCTAGGACGAGGCGGACGACTGTAGACCCCGAATATCAGTCAGATGGCTCAGCCGAAGCTCCGGCTGAGGGTGTTCCTTATGACCAGTCGGGCGTACCTAGCACGCCCGGAGATGAGATCTTGGAGGAATCTAAGAGTTTAGAAGGCGAAGAGATCGTCCAGCAATCAAACTCTACTGAGTTAACCGTGGAACCGGATGCCCCTCAAGAGGACGAGGAGGCATACAAGTGGCCCTCTATTAATAATCCAATAGAGGCGCACATGAGCGCCCGGGATGTGGTCACCCTAAACGCAACCCTTTCGGCATTTTTAGAGAAGCGTCCGGTAGGAGCCGGATGGGAAATTGTTGTGCCGCATGTAGAGGCATCCGTCGTCTGGGAGGACGACTTAGATCATGCCGATGATTACTTCGGCTGCTATGAGGCGGCATTCAAAGCCGGCCTCCGGTTCCCCCTCCACAACACAATAAAAGCCATTCTAAGGGGTTACGACCTTGGCGTCTGACAGTTAACACCCAACTCATGGGTGAACTTACTAGGATACATCGCCGCCTGCGAGATGCGGGACATAACGCCTAGCTGGGAGGCGTTTGCACATATGCACTACCTCAGTCGTGCCCCAGGCGGCTGGCATGCATGGCATACATTGACCACGCATCCGGAATATATGATGACGCTCGATAAGTCGTCTAAGTAGAGCAGTTGGAAGATCAAATTTTACAT